CCCCAAAACCCCAAAACCCCAAAACCCCTTAAGAAGGAAATAAAGACTTAATCAAAATTATTACCAAATGTTTATAAAAATAAATAAATATTCAAACATGAAAAATTTAGCTAAAGTGACATTTTTCTCGATTTTTTCTCTCTAAAAATCTTAGAAGAATTCGATCAAGATATTCCAGAGACAAAATTAGAATTAAGTGATTAGAATCCAATAGAGAACTTTTGTAGCCCAAGCAGTTAAGAAACCGTCTACATGCTTTTACAAGATTCTGAATGTGTCTGCAAAAGCCACTCCTGAAGAAGTTAAATCTGCTTACTATGAACTAGGTAAACATAATAGAAAAATAAATTTATAAAGCCAAGAAATATCATCCTGATACAATTACTGAGGAGGATAAGTAATCAGCTAAGGTATAGATATATTTACTTTTTGTCTCATTTATCATATTAGGATAAGTTTAAGGAAATAACAGAAGCCTATTCGGTCATAGGCGATCCAGAAATGAGAGCAAAATATGATAGATTACTATATGGAGATTCAGCTAGCGGAGATTTCTAAAACTAAGAAGCATATGAATATTGGAAAGACAGGAAAGGTGGTTTCAAAAACAAAGAGGATCTTCACAAAGAAAGAGTGAGGGACAAAGTGAATAATGCTTAGTCTTACGATGACTTCTTTGACAGAATAAATAACCATAGAGAGAAAAATGAAGCTAGAGAAGAATTATTAAGAGGAGAAGGCTTTAAGGATCTAGCAAAGAAATACGGGCCAGATTATGATTATCATTAATCTGCTAACGATGAGCATAGTGACAAATACATTAGATACAGAGAGAGATTTTATGAAAATTACTGGGATACAAAGGAGAATTCAGAATATTATTAGCAACCTGCTAGAACTCGGGCTTGGATCACTCTTAAAAAGGTAACGAGCTTTTATTGGGATTTTGCTATTATTTGGGGCGCATTTGCAGCACTTTTTGTTGTCTTTAGCGCCCGAAATAATGCCTCAAAGACCAATGTCTCACATGCCTATTTATAGATTATCAAGCAGAGATCCCTTGAACCCCTAGAAATAGTATAGAATAGATCCTACTATGATAATAAATACTCTGCTGAGGATTTTTAAAGGAATCCATCAAATGATTAGAATATAGTAAATGCTGAGGAAGATATTTAGACTGACATAAAAGCTGATTCGACTAATCGTAATAAATGACAATCAAACTAAATTAATTTCATAACCACATGATAAATTGAGATAATATTTAAGCTCTTGGGGTTTTGGGGTTTTGGGG